GCGTGCTCCAGTTTTAGCAAATCTCCCCCATTGTGTCACTCACATTCTCCTGGTGTGAGGCCCGCCTCCTAACATATTCCCAGCCTGAAGGCCTGTTACTCGGAATAAAGAATGTTTTACTGAAGAACATTGGCACAGCATTACAGTCCATAATCTGACTTCCTGAACAGTGTCTTTACAATGTAGAGAGGTGGTTATATGATGCAATAAGTGTTGTGTGTATACTAATGATATAATGAGCCCATAAGTCCAATTTCTTGCCGGCTCCAGACACTTGATGCAGCATCTCCTTAGAGACTGAAGTGATTCTGGGTGAACAGATAGAGAGGAAGGTGCAATTTAAGTGTAATAGAATATAAGTATCCAGGTCTAAATATACCAACTTGGTGGGATCAACCACATGGATAAATTGCAACCCTAAATCTTTGGTATTACAATGGACTACAAAAGAGGTAAAGGCCTCCATATTACCATTTCAGATTAGCAAGATAGCAAGGTATCTTCCGTAATATATAATATATCTTCTGAATAGCTTAGTATACCATATAAAATGTTCCTCCCAATAACCCATTGTAATATTTGCATTGTAGAGGGCATAATTTGTCCCCATAGCCGTGCCATATCTCTGCCCCAGTCCAATCAGTCTGCATCATTGTTTATTTAATTCCTCCCCTGATCTCCTTCTCCAAGACTTGACAAAGAGCCCATGCCTCAAAATGTTTCAAAATGACGCACTTCCACCACGTCAATTCTGGTGTTTTCTACAGACTGCAGATGCCATAGACCTATGTAAGCTCTCTTTTTATACAACGTTAAGAACATGGTTCTTTCATTAAGCTATACAGGACATGGTGTATGGCCTATTGAGCTTAGTATTTTAATAAAGCTTTATCTGCAGACACCTTTCTGGTGAATATGTATGCTGGACTATTGGACTCATTACTTGCACATAACGCTAAAGACTATCTCTAAGGGGCCCTAGAGACTCCATTATTATTTGCCATCCCCTAGGATTTTTATGAGCTGAGAAGTTGTGTGTTTGTTTTGTTCTTGGTGCCAACCTACATTACCATGGCAAATGCTTATTGTATTAGGAGTTTCAGCACCGGATGTTTTTGTTTTAATTGGTCACATTCTGGGTTTATTTTTTCTGGCAACATTTTTACACAGTGTTAGCATAATTTTAAAGGGCAAGAGATGCAAAAGTAGCTTAGTTAAAAACACTATACAATACAGTCTCTCTGAGCTATACTGGTCATTTATTTTCATGTACCATATTAACCAAAAACTGCTTCACTTCTGCAGTAAAACAAAGAGATAAAGTCATGATTGCTTCATCAAATGCTTCAGAGTCTCTGCAGTAGGCTTTTGCTTAGCCCAAACAGCTCACAGTGAATCCTCCACATACTCTCACACAGAAAAATAGCCTGTCAGTTCACCATCCGCAAAGTTTCAAAATCCATAGCACATCCACTTCCTATGAAGCGTTACAACCCTTTTACAATGAGTTAGGCATCCTAGCAGGTGGACCCACCCAATCTCTTCCACAACCCACACACTCATCAGGTGTCCCTGGAGCCTACAACTGCCCAAATCTGTATTCTGAAATATACATATCGCCCTTTGACCATGTTGCTTGCCATTTTAGCCCAAACTCTGCTAAATACCTGTTCCCTGTTTGAGCCCATTGGAACAAACACCTTCCTTTAATGGACAGTGGGTTCTAGATCAGTGTTTTAATTACCATGACGTTCTTGGCTCCGTGCTCTACCTTAAAGTAGAAGTTTTATAATATGAGAAACCATCACTTTACTTGGGCAGATTTCTCTTTCGTTTGGTCCATCCAATTCAGTGGTGAGAGATCCATACCCACTTCCTTCCCTCCTTCTCAAGAGGTAGTACCTTTGGGACTTCAATGCCCATTTAGTCACCAGGCACTCCCACTCCACAATAATATAATTCCTATTAGCAAGGTTCAGTTTTAGCTTAGGCAAAATCACAAGTGTTTTACCATTTGCCACCTGGGGGAGGACTGCACCTAAGCACACACTTGAGGGTTCTAACTAATCATTGTGTATGCTTTGTCTTTAAATAGGTCTGTCAAGGGGGTTGCAATGGTGGTATGATTAGGGATGACCTTTTTAAGGTAGCTGACCATACCCAGGAAGGTTTGCACCTGTCTTTTGGTCACAAGCTGCAGCCACTTCATGATAGCTCCTACCTTACTAGTTTGTGGTTTATTAAGACCTCTGCCAATGATGTACCCTAAATACTGTTTTTCCTGCATGCCTATACATTTTTGTTGTATTGGTTGTCAACCCCACCATCTGTATGGCATCCAAGACAACCTAAACTCTGAGAAGATTACTTTCCCAGTCTGTGCTAAAAAAACACATCATCTGGGAAACCTGCCATATATTCCTGGTGTGGACAGAAAGGTGGACATTGAAAGGTTGTTGGAGCCCCTTGCAAGCCTAACAGTATGCTTGCATACTGCAACAAACCCTTTGGAGTGACAAAAGATTGCTTTACTTTTTACTTTGGCACAGTCTGTGAGGAGGATTTTCCAGTACCCCTTAGTCAGGTCCAAGGTGAGAATAAAATGGGCTACACCAAGCATTTCTATCAATTCATCTACCTTGGGCATAGTATAGATTTCAAATTTTGAACTCTATGATTTCCTAAAGTCATTGCAGAAGCGCATCGAGCCATCAGGTTTGGGAACAAGCACTTTAGGACTTTTGAAACTGCATGCTGCTCTGTGAGCCTACAGTACTGCTTTCTGCTTTCAGACCATTGTTGTTGTATGTGCCAGAGACTGCCTTTGCCACCATGATCAGGTAAAATCCCTTCTGCTGCATCTGGGTTCTGCTGTTAATGTGGGAGCTCACCTGCTTGAGGCTTCCACCGCCAATCTTTGGAGGGATGGAGGCCAAGAATTAACCCAGAGAGAGGTCACACTGCTGTGATCTTTTCAAGTAAGGCACTTCTGGGACTGCTGCATACCTGGTCTGCTGCCAACATGTCAAGGACTGTGAGAACTGTCTATAGTCAAATCGAGTGACTTTATATCAAATTCCTAGGAGATGGAGGAAAGTTCAATATGGATTTCAGGGTTGTGAGAGGGCATTAGTAACCATCTTAGCTATATTCCTTTTTAATGAGACAGCACTACCACTTTCTAGGACCCCCAGGGATTGGTATTTTGGAGATTTTCCCCTTTATTGTTGAGATAATAAAACTCCAATTAGAGTGCTCCAAGGTTGCTTTAGGACCCCAATGCTGGCCATCAACAGATATTCATCACTGGTCAGTGAGGGGATGATAAAGAGAGACTGTGTCTTTATTGACCCTATGTGTATCTCCTATAGTTATGGCACCATTTAACATACGATCAATAAGGTCTAAACTTTACCCCTTGAACCAGGTTGTTGGGTGCCCATTATCTTTTCTTCTGTTATTATCCTGTTTGAAAATGGTGTTATTGGTGTAACTTTATTTTGCCATTATTTTGCCTCTGTTTATTGTATTGTTGTTATTGTCTTACTCTCCTGTGCATGTTACCCAAATAAACAACCTAGACAGAGACATTCAGATAGTGTGTTACTGTCCTGTGGGCTGTCAAACATCAGCAACTCCTTCGTGGGTTGGGCATACAGGAAGAGGTGACTGATAGTGCTTCAGTCAATAGTCTCCTCCAGTTTCAACAGAATTCACGGAGCATTAAATAAATAAACCCTGTAGTGGTACAGTTTACAAAAATTTGGATCTATCATTTTGTGGGATGTATAGATACTGTATATTTAAATTGGCCACAGTTATAAGTTCCTTTCATTATAAAAGGGTAATTGTTTCTGTTTCATAACTACGATATACGCACCAATGATTCCTTCAAAACTGAGCTCTTTCAAATGTGATATTAGGACATTTGCTTAAAAATTTACCCAAAATGGGATTATTTGTTAAAACTGAGTTGCTTGCATACCACAAGTATAATATACTTTACATGTTTTTCCTACATACTAAGTTTTTGAGAAAAAAAAAAGATTTGGTGACAGATATGTAAATAAGTATATTATTTCATATTTCCCACCAACTTCTATTTCTTTGAATGATGCATTTCCATAATTTATAAAGTTGTACGTAAATAAGTTGTTGCTGCTGGGAAGAAGCGGGTGGCAGCATTTGAATAATGAAATAAATGTTACTTTTGTCATGTCTTGATCTCACTAATCTCCACTGTTAACTAGGATTTATATTTCATTATAGATTTACCCCTTTCTGAACCTAACTTTGGCTTGAACTTAAACATCTTAGTGTTGGTTCGGACTAGGCTCAGACTAGGCTGCTTTTGTTCATGTCTTTCACACAAAGGGCTTTTCAAATAGCAATGACAAGGTTCCATTTGTAGTCATTCTTTTCAGTTTACTGATCAAGTGGATCTTTATTCCATGTCTCTTTTTTATATTTTTTCTCTGTAATTATGTATTTAGTTTCAGAGAATGTCTATATTATTTAATTGCATGGCATTTTCAGTAATCACAGTTCTGAACTTTGTAGTCACTACCTGTATATGTATTGAGATATATACATTTTCAGGGCCAGTTTGGAAAATTTCACAAACATAATGGGAGAAAGGCTGTCTAATGTTTCTATCAATGATAATGGGAAACAGAAAGGAAAAACACAATTAATTCTATAGCCAGTTTATTGACAGAAACAGCGGAGACAATATAAAGACTTATGTAAAGTAACACGATCTGACAGATTGTTCTGTATCTTTCAAAGTTTTATGATGTAATTTGCTGTTTCAAAGCCTCATGTTATCTTTACACAACCTATGCTACACTTGCAAAGCCAACACGGTTGTTTCCAAAGTCATAAACAGAATAATATTCCCTCAGGAAAACATCTCCCAGAATCCAGAGTGGGTCTCCATTCTGAGCTGGCAAGCTGATGCTAAGGAAGTTGGCATAGCAATATCCATTCTCCTAGAAAGATTAACAGAAATATGCAGTCATTTGCTATTTACATTAACAAACCTCAGCATACAAAAAACAATGCAGAGATAGCTGCGAAAAAGTCTGCACGTGGTGCCTATACACTGGAATACCCTGACCATATGCATACCAATAATGTGATGAAATCTTTGCTAACTCTGTTAACCTCCCTGGCATTAACCCCAAGCTGGGGATTCAATATAACACATTTAACCTCAATTTAATTTAATTCCTGGCCTGAGAAATGTTTGAGGTTACTGCCAGGGACTCCAAGCCAAGCAGAGGAAAAATCAGTAATTATAATAAATAAATACAATTAAAAGTAATTAAAAATAAAGTTGAATAAAATTCTGAAAAAAATGAAAAACCTTGGGACTCACTTCCCCATCCCCATGCACATACATGGATGCACCTGTATAGGTAAACAACAACTGCATAACACATATTGGGTATCTCTATGCACATCAAAGGGAGAGGTATTATTCATGGTCCATTATATATGGTTACTTCTAAACTGATTAGCTGTATAGGTATTTAAAGTGCTGCCTATGGAAAATTTTTAAAACATTTTTTTTTTTTTGCTTTGGCACAAATTTTAGGATTGACAAACTATGTACCTATTTACTCAAAACAAACCTGTCTTTTAAATTTGCAAAAAAAAGATTGAATTACTTTTGTGATCATGTACAATGCATTAGTTGTAGTATTGAAAAATGTGTTAAAAAAAGCAACTTTTTTGCATGTTTTTCTGGGGGGAATGTAGCATTAGGAATGTTAAATATAGGTTTGTGTTGCAGTAGTTTGCAGCACAGAAGGTGCTACAGAAAATCATTTACGTAGTTTGATTTTAAGAAGGAGAGTAATTGAGAAAATTGTACTTTTGCAGCAAAGATGGGTTGAAGTATATGCCTTCTGATCACATTAACGTGTTACAACCCCTGTGTCTATATTACAAATATAAATATGGTACATTTTTGATGTATCAGGAGAGGCCTGATAAATCCCAACATGTAATGGCAAGAACTATGTCAGGGATCTCATCAAGGGGTAATGCCATGAATACAGATTTTTTTGTCCAAATTTTCTATTTCATTGGTGATGTCTTGCATTGCATTTACAAAAATTCACAATGCACTGCATTGCAGTGCGTGCTAGCAAAAATATAAAACATACCTGAATAATATAGGCTGATGGAGGCAATGGGAAGGAAACACCATTGATGGTGAAGCTAAGAGTAGGCATACTCTGAAGATTGTTGCAGTTCACATTATACTAAAAACCAGAAAAACAGACATGATGTAAGGCCAAGTTAGGAAAAAATGCAAATACATTTAAAAAATAATAAACCTATGCTAACCCAACTGACTACTCAGAAGTAATTTAATTTTTAGAATATAAGCTAAATTTCTTTAAATAGGAAGATAACAATATATTCTTCCTATCTATGTTTGTTATGAAACCAAAGATTAGGACAACAGCAGAAAATACCCATGTCTGTACTGATAAAATTATGAATTTTGTATTTTATATTAAATCTATTCTTACTCCTCCATTCTGTGTCTGTTGAATACCAAGGTATGGAAGCAGCTGTTGCATGTATGGTTCAGGGATATTCAGCTGGGTGGTTCCAGTATCTACAATGGCCTCGCAACCATTGCTACACCAGCCAGTAGCTTGTCCATTGATGGAGAATCTGTACAAATAAACATTATGTAAGTAAAAACAAATCATCCTTAACCTTAACCAGCCATGAGAAAGCCTAATACTGGCCACATATAGATTTTCATTAAAAAATTTTCATTTTAAGGAAGTTTGTTCGATTTTCTAATCATTAGTGGAGTCAAATGTGTATTTTTGTTCAGAAATTACATTAATGTTAAAATTTAATGGTAAACTCAAATGAAATTTTTAACAATATCCATCCATTGATTGAATGTTCAAAATGTTTGTACAAATAATCTCATCTGAAAATCTTCTAGTGTATGGCCAGCATAAGTCAGAGTTTAAGTTTAGCAGGTCAATTTCATTTTCCCTTAGAGTATAATGCCTAAGTCTGAGTTTTGTCTCGCCAGTGGGAATTTTGCTTTTTCCTGACCCTTTACCAGTGGCATAACACTCAAGTACACAAATTGGTGTAAGATCCCACCTCCAGCATATGCATTGGTCTTTCCCCTGTAAAATCCCACCTCCAGCTCACATATTGGTCTTTCCCTGTAAGATCCCACCTCCAGCATACACATTGGTCTTTCACCTGTAAGATCCCACCTCCAGTACACACACACTGGTCTTTCCCCTGTAGGATCCCACCTCCAGCACACACATTGGTGTATCCCCTGTAAGATCCCATCTCCAGAACACACATCAGTGTTTCCCCTGTAAGATCAAACCTGCAGCACACATAATGGTACTTCCCTTGTAAGATCCCACCTCCAGTCACACATTGGCCTTTCCCCCGTAAGATCCCACCTCCAGCACACACATTGGTGTTTCCCCTGTAGGACTCCACCTCCAGAACACACATCTATGTTTCCCCTGTAAGATCAAACACACAATAGTGCTTCCCTTGTAAAATCTGACCTCCAGCACACACACATTGGTCTTTTCCCTGCAAGATCCCAACTCCAGAACACATATCTGTGTTTCCCTTGTAAGATCTAACCTCCAGTACACACACTGGTGTTTCCCTGTAAGATCCCACCTCGAGTGCACACAATGGTGTTTCCCTTGTAGGATCTTACCTCCAACACACACATTGGTATTTTCCCTGTAAGATTCCACCTACAACACATATACTGGTCTTTCCCCTGTAAGATCCCACCTTCACCACACACATTGGTCTTTCCCCTGTGAGATTCCACCTCCAGCACGCAGAATTGTCTTTCCCCTGTATCCCTCCCCCAACGCACACTCTCTAGTTTTTCCTCCAGGGACTGTCTGCAGTCAAACATTGCTCTTTCTCCTTAGTATTTATACCTCCAGTACACAAAACTCTCTAGAAATTTTTACAATGGCAAAAAAGGTGGATTAACCTATTAGCAGGGGCGGACTGACAATTTGGAAACTCGGGCACTACCCGAGGGCCCGGGGTCAGTAGGGGGCCCCATGAGATGCCCCTGGTACCTTTTTCATAGGCTTTTTTGAGTTTGGGCAAGGACACAGGGGCCCCATGAGTTGTCTATCCGCCCCTGCCTATTAGTGACCAATTAGTAGAGTATGTGCATTAACCCACTGATGACCAGTCTGCAGTGCATGTACAAGAACATCTTAGAATGACTTCAGTCACCTAACCCTAGCTTTAAAATATGAACCCTTCAGTCACCTGTTCTGCACTGTATGGGGTCTGCTACAACTCCTCAGTGTGCTTTAATCCTTTAGTATACTGAATATGACCTATATTCTTCTGTAAAACCCTCTTAGCTCTCACGCTGCCACCTATGACCTAGTTAGTTTTTTTTTTTTTTTTTTAATGGGTGTTTAAAAGCATAATGGGAAGCACTTCCCTAATATTGCTTTTACCTGTATGGCTATGATCATATACTTTAATAAATTTATTTTATTTCTAATTATAGAAAGATCAGTAACTGTCATTTGTAAATCAAAAGATTAACTGTACTGCTGATTGTCATACCCTCCCATTTTTCCTTTGCACATATTTCCTTCTTTAAAACTAATCTACACCTGTTGTGCATATTCACACTGCAGTCATATTCTTCACACTCCACTTCTACACACACTTCTCCCTTTCAAACCCTTTGCACACCTCTTTGGCATATAAACTTTGCTGTCATGCTCTCTGCATTCCTCTGCTGCATGTAGTGCCCCCTGCATTCCTCTGCTGCATATAGTGTTTCTCTGCACAGCTCTTTTGCACACACTTCCTGCTGTCATACCTTCAGTATTCCTCTCCTGCACATACTGCCTGCTGTCATACCCTCCATACTTCTATTCTGCACAAATTGCCTACTAACATACCCTCTGCACTCCTTTCCTGCATATACTGCCAAATGTCATGCCTTCTGCACTTTTCTACGCAACTGCCCGCTATCATAACCTCTGCATTCCTCTCCTGCACATACTGCCTGTTACCATAGCTTCTGCACTCTTCTCCTGCACACACTGACTGCTGTAATTCCCTCTACACACTTCAGTTGCTCATATTGTCCACATTCTTTCCCTTCCTATTTCTCTCCTGCACATACCGATTTCTGTCCTACCTTCTGCACTCTTTTCCTGCTAATACTGCCCATTGACATGCCTCCTGCATTTCTCTTCTGCACATATTGCCTGCTATCATGCCCTCTGCGCACCTTTCCTGCACATACTGCATGCTGTCATTTTATTCACATAATTCTTCAGCATGCTTTTATTGTACTTTACATATATTATTTTGATATATCCCTATTGTTGGCTTAAGTAAACTTACTTTACTTAAAGACCCTGCATATAACTTAGTCTTACATTGCAGGCCTGTTCACATAATCTCATTTCAGTAACATGATTGGTATGCCAACACACTGGCTAATGGGCATGTGTTGCTGTGCAGGGCAACATGATGTGCAGACAGAAAAATGGTGCATGCACATTTTGCAGCACATCTATCGGCAAGTGCATTGGAGTACTATGCACAATAAATAACACCCTGTCCCAACAGATTTAGCAATCATTTTGGTAATATTATTTTATTTCAGGTACGTATATAGCGCCATCAATTTATGCAGTGTTTTACCTATATACTGTACATTCACATCAGTCCCTAACCTTCAAGGGTTGTGCAATCTAAAGTCCCTAACTTACATTCATACATACACCAATTTAGACAGAATCCAATTAACCTATCAGAGTGTGGCAGGAAACTGGACTACCTGGAGGAAACCCACAGAGGCAGAACATGGAAACTCCAGGCAGGTGGTGCCGTGTTGGCATTTGAACCAACGATGCTAGTGCTGCCAGGTGGAAGTGCTAACCGTTTAGCCACTGTGCTAGCCAAACGTGAGGTAATACACACTATACCTCCATGAGATGTGCCCTGAATTATAACATTATTGTAGTAACTGCTTCATTAGCTTGGTGAATGTGCCACAGTTTAGTTCCTAAAACACTGTAAAGCTAATTACTGTGCTTTAGCAGAACTACTGTTGCTCAGCATCTCCATTCAGATAACTAAGGAGCTGTGTTGATGGGCTTTGGGTTGTGTAGTTAGCTTTAGTTTAGCATCAGTTTAGGACACTTCTGAGATCATCTAGCATTCACTGACAGGTACATTCAATCTTCAGTTGATCTCCTTCTGACCTGCATTTAACCTGATCCAAGATGGTTCTGCATTTCCATAGATTTGTATGGCATGGCATAACCTGTTTAAAATGAACAAATGCCCATCTACACAGGCTCTAAAGCTGGTAATCAGCAGAGGTCTCTCATAGGCTACGTACAGAACCTAAATGAAAAAGAAAACTCACTCTTGAAGAGCAACCTGCCAGTACAGATCATTAGACAATGGAGCCCAATTGATCTGGCCAGTGTAAAGGTTGGAATTCACACCTCCAAAAACAACTTCACCTGATTGGCTGCAGAAGAAAGAAAAATAAGAACAGTGAGAACAATATGAAAACATAACAACCATTATGTTAACAAGCTTTTTTACATATTAATTTTACAGTATTCTTGTATATTCATAAATAGCTTTCTCATTGCAGTAGTTACAATACTTAAGTGAAGCATATAGTCCGTGTTTTTTTTTTTGTGGGGACAAACAATGTCTTCCTTTTTGTGGCATTCTCTTCAAAAATTAGCTTTTCACAAATTTTACAAAAGCAAAAATTAAAAAAAAATATAAAAAAATACAGCTAATGTAATTGTAGCTACAAAGAGCAATGTATACTGTAAGTTGTCCCCTTTATCATGATACTAAAATTTTGTTTGTAGTACAAAGGATTGTGAAGTTATTTAACCCTTTGGCTGCCAGGCCCTGCATTTCCCTTTTAAACTCAGGTGGCCAGGACATTTTTGTAATTTTTCCATTGATCTTTTATTTTTCCCGTACAGCTTTCAGAGTTTGTAAAAGACCCCCTAAAGCAGACATGTCCAAAGTCCGGCCCGCGGGCCATTTACGGCCCGAGGGTCGGTTTAATACGGCCCTCCATGTTAGTGTGTCAGTGTGTCTTATGGAGCGAATATGGAGCGGCCGGTCCGGTATTTCCACCGCGGCCGTGTCAGAATACCGGGCCGGCCGCTCAGCTCTGCAGCGGGACCTTACCTGTTCCTCTATCCAGCGGTGCGCTGTCTTCCCGGCTTCTGTAGTGTGGGCGCTGGGCATGACAGCTGGGTGCCACATGCGCATGCGCAAGAAGCGGTGCTTTTTGTGAATGGTAAGGCGGTACCTGGGACACATGACAGATCCCAGAAGCTGCCCGGACCAATCACAAAGCGCAAGTGCTTCTCGCTCATGCGCACTGGGCACCCGGCTGTCATGCCGAGCGCCATTACAGAAGCCGGGAAGACAGCGCGCGGCTGGATCGAGGAACAGGTAAGATCAAAGAACAACTGCGGAAGTAAGAGCGGGTACCTGGCAAATTCAGGTACCCACTCCCCACCTCCCCAAAGGTCAGCAGTCATCTGTACTGTCCGCAGTCTCTGGTCATCCCTGTGCTGTCCGCAGTCTCTGGTCATCCCTGTGCTGTCCGCAGTCTCTGGTCATCCCTGTGCTGTCCGCAGTCTCTGGTCATCCCTGTGCTGTCCGCAGTCTCTGGTCATCCCTGTGCTGTCCGCAGTCTCTGGTCATCCCTGTGCTGTCCGCAGTCTCTGGTCATCTCCTGTACTGTGTCTGCAGTCCATTAGTTCAGAATTTTTTTTTTCCTGTTTTCTGCCTCTAAAACCTAGGTGCGTCTTATGGTCAGGTGCGTCTTATACGGCGAAAAATACGGTAACTTGGCATAAAATAATAATTTATTTGCATTTAATTGTAATGGTTCAAAGAATGTTTGGAAAAATGTTCGGCCCTCCACCCATGTTCACTTCATCCAATCTGGCCCTCTTTGAAAAAAGTTTGCACACCCCTGCCCTAAAGCATATATTTTATGAAAGCACATGACTAGTAGAATAAAAAGAAGTTACTACTGAATTTTAATACTTTGCAATATTTGCGCAAATGTTTATCAAAACAATACTTTCACAAAAAATACACTCAAATCATTAGTAGCAGATACAAATACAGCATATTTTACAAAATTCCTGCTAAATTCCTACTAAGTATAAAAGAGTAACCTGTATTGAGTTAATAAATAATAGATATTTGTACATTTTAAAATGCGCCTTTTTGCAAAATAGTGAAAATCAAACGTACGTAAAAATGCAAATAACCAAATTTCACTAAACATCTAGAGGTATAATTTTTCACTTACAGCTTTTTACCCCCCAAACTATATATTTTCTAAAAACACATGCCTAGTAGAATAATAATAAGTTGCTACTGAATTTTAAGACCCCACAATATTTGCGCAAATGTTTATCAAAACAATATTTTTACTAAAAATACACTAAAATCATTATGAACAGATACAAATACAACATACTTTACAAAATTCTTGCCAAATTCCTACTAAATTTAAAAGAGTAACCTGTACTGAGTTAATAAATAACAGATATTTGTACATTTTAAATTGCGCCTTTTTTAAAAATGGTGAAAATCATACATACGCAAAAATGTAAACAACCAAATTTCTCTAAAAAATCTGGAGGTTTTAATTTTTCACTTACAGCTTTCACAATTCGTAAAATGCTCACCAAAAACTATATATTTTCTGAAAGCACATGACTATTAGAATAAAAATCAGTTGCTACTGAATTTTTAGACTCCACAATATTTGCAATATGGGGAAAATTGAATGTACTAAACAATTAGTGTGAACCTAGCCTTAATATTTTTTGTATTTTTATTTTTTTTAACAACTTTATTTTTATTACCAAGTACATTTTTTTTTTGGGGGGGGGGGGCTTTGGGCTCTAATGTCTCTTTTTTGAGACAGAGAAAGGGACTGAAGACAATCCCTTTCTCTGCAGCCTGAGCTTATACAGCTTACTATGTATCAGTGAATACTGAATCCAGAAGCGATCTGTCAGCGCCAGCTGTGCACTCCCTCCCCCCCCCCCGCTCTCCATCCTGACAGTTATCAGTGCTTCCACTGGCTGGAGGGTGAGGAGGAAGAGCTTGCCAGCAGCACGAGTTATGGGGGGGGGCAGTTTTCACTGAAGGGGGAGTTACAGCTTAGGCTGTGGCTCCCATGCAATTACCGGTGGGAGAAACAGAGGAGGGAAGCCAGTAATTGCATTGGAGCCACAGAGGATCAGTGCTGGGGGTGTGGGGGGGGGGGGGGGGGGGGGTGGGGGAGGGAAATCAGTGCTGGGCAACACAGAAAAGGGGGAGGAAGGGGCCAGTGAGGGGGGGGGGGGTTTGCAGCTTAAAAACAGTTAGGAGAAGTGGAGGGAAAAAGGCAGCAGGTGAGAGCAGTGGCGGGGGGGTCCCATTTTAAGTTAATATCTCTGATCAGGGGCTTGTTAGCTGCTAGTCAGAGCTATTATTTTTTGTTCAACAGAATCTGCTGAACATTTCTCCTATACGTTCATGGGCACTGAAGTGACCATAAGCTTATAGGGACCTGGCCAGCTGAAAGAAATGCTGTAGGTCAATACGCAATATGGACCTGGCAGTGAAAGGGTTAATTAATTTAATTTAAAAGATGTGTTTTGTAGCACAATATTACAAACATGGATACATGAAATAAAAGAAATACTCTGTTTATGGTTAGCCATATATAATGGTTTTGCACAGAGCAGCCCCAATCCTCATTGGACAAGTATCTAAGGTGGCCTCTAGTCAAGATGTCAGTAGAATCTTTTATTCTTTACTGCACGCCTTTGACAGATTTGCTGCCATATGTATTTTCATTTTAGATGTGTATCATAAAATTAAAAAAACATGCTTTATTTCTGGCAAATCCTAAAAAAAAATCCATTTATCCCCCCTCTACAGCTCTTAAAAAACATTATGAAGAAAATAATTGACTTAACCATGTGAGCTCTCACCAGCTGTCACTTAGGACTTAAAGCCATAAAACACACATCAAAACCAAACATAATTTATTCATTCAACACATATATGTACATCATACCTGCCAAGGTAGACACTGAAAATAGGCTGATTCAGGAGATTCTCCTGCAATATTCCTTGCATCACAGTGGTGGCACCACCCACAGACAAACCAGGATAAGCCAATCCCAATATACCATCAAATGGGGAATAGTAGAAATTACCACTGGGTTCTGTAATGGTCAGTCCAAATTCTTGATTTGTGATGGTAAGTCCTTGAATCTAAGGAAATGCAATGCCATACAATTATTTGGAAATGACATTCCAACTAACATAAATAGTGGTTGTACAGTATAAATCAGGTTCATTAAACTAAATTGTCAGGTTGACTAGAGGAACTCCAGGGTATGTAAAGGACATAACTATATCAAAGCAGGATAGGCCTCTCTCTGCCAGTGGTGATGCACTTGCATTGATAAGTAATAGAGAGCTTCAGAAATATACCTCAATATAGCCACTAGATGGAGGTGAGCATCAGTATTTATTTCATATGATCCTTAGCTCCATCTAGAGGCTACAATGAAATATTTTCCCAAACTGATATTTTTTATGAATGATGGACATTTGACCTGTAGAGGAAGTAAAAGAAAAATGATTGATTTTGTCTCATTCACACAGAACTAATGTACCAGCTGTTTCACTGGAATACCTATGCATTTTTTTTTACGAATACACTATTTATAAATGTTATTCAAGAGTGTTTAAAGATCCATACTTAAATAGAACAGGGGGTTTGAAGTTTTTTTTAATATCTTTTATGTGAGAAATACTTATTTTTGTACCTAGCCATTCCTGAATGATATGACTAACAAGCATCACTCTTACTACCTAGGTTTTGGTATAGCCAAAGTGAATATGGAGGTAACTTTTCTGATGAAAAATGGGACTGTTTTTCAACAAAAGGGTCCTGTTTTGTGAAATGAATACTTCTGTTAAATCTAGGTGTGTGTTTTGGTTATTGTTCTCAGACTGCCTGTCTACTACCTCCCTTGACCTTCTGTCTTTGACTCAGCCTAAATATCAGCCCTGACCTCTGTCTCTTTATGGATTCTTTCCTCTTGGTTTGGTACATTGAATCAACGCAATTCTGAGATTGTGTGCCACAGGTCATCCAGTATACTGTATACCATGACATAGAAGGATAGAAAGATAGATAGATAGATAGATAGATAGATAGATAGATAGATAGATTATATTATTGTTACTTACATAGACTGTATCATAACCAAACACTCCAGTAACACTGCTGGCAACATTCCCACCACCATACCCCATATTGAATCGCTGTCCATTAGAAGAGTAAGTGGAGGACTGGCTTGGGTTAAATGTATGATGGTTTGCTGGAAAGGATATTGTATTATCATGAGCATGTTCCAGTGAATCATTTACTTATAATAATTCTTAAATTAATACATGCTTTTCACTTGTAGAGATCAAATTGTAAAATTCATAGTGCTGATTCCTATGTGAAATTGTTGAAAAAATTTGACAAAACATAGTTTTTTTTAACTATACATGATCTATCCATACATCATCCTATCCATAATAAAAGTTATTCTTGTGATTTAAATTTTTTACAGAGAAATCATCTAAGACCAAATATAAATATTAAAGTATACACTATATTCCCAAAAGTATTGGAACACCTGCCTTTACACACATGAACTTTAATGGCATCGCAGCCTTAGTCCATAGGGTTCAATATTGAGTTGGCCCACCCTTTAACAGCTTCAACTCTTCTAGGAAGGCTGTCCACAAGGTGTGTCTATGGGAATGTTTGACCATTCTTCCAGAATCACATTTCTGAGGTCAGGCACTGATGTCGGACAAGAAGGCCTGGCTCACAGTCTCTACTTTAATTCATTCCAAAGGTGTTCTATCAAGTTGAGGTCAGGATTCTGTGCAGGCCAGTCAAGTTCCTCCACCCAATACTTACATATCCATGTCTTTATGGACCTTGCTTTGTGCACTGGTGCGAAATCATGTTGGAACAGGAAGGGGACATCCCCAAACTGTTCCCACAAAGTTGGGAGGATGAAATCATCCAAAATGTCTTGGTATGCTGATGCCTAAAGAGTTCCTTTCACTGGAACTAAGGGGCCAAGCCCAACCCCTGAAAAGTAACCCCACACCATAATCCGCCCTCCAGCAAACTTTACACTTGGCACAATGCATTCAGGCAAGTACCATTCAAGTGGCAACCACCAAACCCAGACACGTCTAATGGATTGACAGACAGAGAAGAGTTATTGGTCACTCCAGAGAACACATCTCCACTGCTCTAGAGTCCAGTGGCAGTGTGCTTTACACCACGGCATCCAAAGCTTTGCATTGCACTTGGTGATAAAAGGCTTGGATGCAGCTGCTTGGCCATGGAAACCCATTCCATGAAGCTCTCTACACACTGTTGTTGTGCTAATCTGAAGGCCACATGAAGTTTGGAGGTCTTTAGCGATTGACTCTGCAGACAGTTGGCGACTTCTGCGTGCGCTGATCCCACTCTATCATTTTACGTGACCTACCACTTTGTGGCTGAGTTGCTGTTGTTCCCAGTTGCTTCCACTTTCTTATAATACATTTGACAGTGGAATATTCAGTAGCAGGGAAATTTTTCAGATGGGCAACCAGGGAGCAACCTATCATGGTACCACGCTTGAATTCACTGAGCTCCTGAAAGTGCCCCATTCTTTCACAAATGTTTGTAGAAGCAGTCTGCATGCCTAGGTGCTTGATTTTATACACCTGTGGCCATGGAGGTGATTGGAGCACCTGAATTCAATGATTTGGACAGGTGTCCCAATACGTTTGGCAATATAGTGTATGTAAACCCTCACCTTGTAAAACAACCCGTTCAGTTTAAAATAGAATTGAAAGGCAAAACATTTAGGCATTCATAAAAAAACATTATAAATGCCATATTCCCTGTTTTATAAGTGATCAAATTCCCTCTGCTCTCAGCTGCATAAGATGCTGAAGGAGGAAAAACAGCAGAACACTGATCTTCCCAGCGAATGGCTGTGCATGTGGAGGCATGTCAACACAAGCCTTATCATTTGATTAGTGTCCAGCACAGCTAGAGAACTGACCACACTGTGGTCTCCCGCCTAGTGTGGTCAGTTTTTAATAGGAAAGCAAATGGACTGGCAGGCACACCAGGGATTTCATAAAGAGGAAGCAATACAAAGAGAAACGGATACCTTTTCATACAAGTACATGGTACAGCAGGCACATGTCAGGAATAGGAAATGTTGGATTTACATGTTCTTTCATTTAGAAGTTGCTGAAGTTGGAGAGAGAAATGTAATGTATTCCCAGCTCCCAGCAGTTTGCTATGTTCAAGCTGCACAGGAAACCATAGGCTCCCCGGTTGACCCCTGAAAATCTGTGGCATCACCCCTACCCTAGGTATATGAATGCAGATGTGCCAAACTTGTGGTTCGGGACAATAACTGTCATTCCAGAATCTCATTTTGTCATCCAAGGTTTTAAGATAAGCAACAGTTTATACTGGAGATTAAAGCTTGTGATATCTCCAAACTTTGAGAAAACAACACACGAGATCCTGCAGGTGCATGAAGTCCCAAATTAAAGGCAGGCATAAGTGAGACATAAAAACAGGCTTAGTCCATTTTCATTAAATGTGTTAGTTTAACAAGCATAGCTAATAAATATTACCTGGAGATGCTTTGATACCAACCCCATATGATTCCCTTCAATGCATTAGTTATGCTGAAAGAATGAGGGTCACATTCTGAGCCGCTCTGTTGCTTTGTACAGTACTGACAGCTTTGCAGACTGAACATACTTACTAAAGTATAGAGAACCAATGGATCTCCTTACTTGTGTCCTGCTGGTATATTACTGTTAAATCAGTATGCTCAGGTGGCTCCTTGTGTAGGCTGGATTGCATAACTGCAATGCAATCTGCAGGTTGGTACAGGACCTGACTACAGGATTGCCTGGATCACAAGACTAGCCAAACAGAATTTAAAATTCTTTGGTAGAAAAAAGGTAAATATATATTATACATACTTCTACATTGTATTTAGCAATTATCTTGGGGTTCTGCCTTGAAATGGTAGACTAGTAAAAATCTGCAACTTTGGTCTAGTCAAGGGTTTCTCAAGTAGGGTTCCTTCAGAGGTTGCTGGGGGTTTCATGAGCAATGAGCAATTTCTGCCTCTTAGATAAGTTCCAACTAACTCCATTGATCGTTTTAGCTATCTATAAGGGGGTAATTCTTCTCAATGACTACGAGTGTTAGGAACATTTTTCCCACTGCCCATCACACTAATGTATCATGAGTTGTAGATATAGTAATTCTAGACAGGGGTTCCCTTGGACTGGAAAGTTATTTCAAGGGTTCCTCTGTGTCGAAAAGGTTGAGAAAGGCTGGTCTAATCTAACAATAAACAATGAATGACTAGAGCATTGTAATACTCACTGCAGGCTGTGCTCTGGCAATAGGTTGATGGAACCCAGAGGTTGGAGGATCCAGTGTCAAAAAGAACAAGGAAATTCTGAGGAGGTGTTCCAATACTTATTGGTCCATAGTAATAAGTCTGCCAATGAAAGATATATGGTACACAAATTCAATTGTCTACATTCATGTAATTAGAATAAAAGCAGTACACATAATACAGTGCATTTTTGAGTTTCTACTGAAAAATCTTAAAGAAGAAAATTTCAAAACAGCAATTACAGTTAAGTCAACTTAAAGTGTTACTAAGCCCACAACAGTAAAATCAGTCTGTATATGCAGTAAAGCATGCTTGTTATACTCACTGTGGAACAGGTTAATCCTCTGCATTGTGTAAAAAGGCATTTTGATCCCGACTTCTCTGATCCTCGCCTTCTTCCAGTACTCCCCTCTTATCTCTTGATAAGATATATCGTGTGGAGTCACTCTGCATATGCTCAGTTTGGAGTTAATTGCTAGAGAGGTTTATTTCTTCTTAGGAGAGTGCATGTGATCAGCACAGGGCCAATCAGCACTGTCCAGACAGAGGTCAGGGGTTCTGCATCCTCCTAGAGCACAATGAAAACTCCTCCTACACGCTTTAACCAGTGCTCAGATGGACACTGATAGAAGTCAAAAGACTGCTCTAACTGCTGATGAGAAAAGGTATTTAGCAGTTTATATTTACTAAAATAGTTGCACTTCCATGTTGTGTGTACTGTGGGAGACCAGATAGAGTGCATGCAGGATCCTGGGTTTAGTAACACTTTAAGCTTTTAAATATTCACCCTTTTGGGACTTTCCATAGATTTCCTGTCTTAGGAAATTTACAATGCTGAAAATGGTTCTGAAACACACATATTTATACACAGTTACAAAGAGAAACAATCTGATAGGGCCCTTCAAAAATTCAGCTTTTTGCACACCCATGATTAGCAATGGCTGTTGTAAATGCGAAGGATATATTGATAGAAAGCCATTACAAAGCACAGTAAAACACAGTACATTGGGGGAATTTATAAAAACTGGAGCAGACAGAATCTGGAGCAGTTATGCATAATGACCAATCAGTTTCATCAGCTTGTTCAGTTAAAGCAAACTAAAGTCCCACTGTAAAAACTTGGAAAGGGAAAAATAGACACTAATTGGTTGCCACATTCAGCTGCTCCATATTCTGGGTGCTCCAGTCTTAGTAAAATCTTCTTGCTGCGTTCACATCAGATTAGTGAAGAAAGGATGCTGTTTCTATTGGTATTATATTTTTTTCTCCACCTGTGTACTATAGGAGAGCTATTCCTTTAGTGTCTTTCCTGCAGCTACAACACAGAGATAGGAAATCTCTCCAGAGTGAGGGGAATCCCTTTTTAGACAATGGCACCTGGAACAAGAGCCCCCATTGGAACATTACACCTCTCTTCCTATTCTGACAACTCGGATTTTTGGATTTTCCATCACCATCAGTCCCATGACAGTGGTCACTAAGACACAAAGTTGTATATTTAAAAGCAGTGAATGTGACATTCACTAAACATTCACTGCAGGTGGAGCCTCTTATCTCATTTGTTTTAATTTATTATGAATAATTTACTTGTAGTGAATGTGTGAGGAATGTCACATTTTTCTATTTTATAAAAATTCCCATAGAAAGTAGATCTCCCTAACGGGGACACAGACAGCAATAAAAACCTGGAATATGTATGTCTGGGATGATGGATTCAACTCAACAATAATTCTTGGTTGAAGACGCTCAAACACATTCATACGGGGTGCAATTGCTCTGGTGAGGCTGCTCTTAGCACAAAACAGGATACCCATT